GTGGGAGCGGGGGGGGGGGGGTGTGTGTGTGTGTGTGTGTGTGTGTGTGTGTGTGTGAGTGAGAGAGTGTGTGTGTGTGTGAGAGGGGGGGGGTGCTGCTTGCTGCTGTGAGAAAACCTGGATTTAACTGCCATGATTGGCATGTTCCCGTTTCAGAACGATATCGGTAATAACCCGCTACCGTCACATTAGAAGGACATCCCGCTGTGCCGGGAAAGTTCTGGAAATGTTTTGGAGGAAAACTTTTCTTTTAGACTGCATGTGTGCGGGTTTTTTTCAGGGGAGGGGGGGGATCTTGTGCCCTTGAAAAGACGTGGTTCTAGCAGGGTAGAACCCACAGCGCGCACATTAAGTCTTCACGTGGACCTTGCATGGTAGAAAGAAAGGTTTGAGGATCAGCATTATAATATAAGCCGAATGCTTCCGAATGAATGATCTCAGCATTCTCCCGACTTGAACCCACGTGGTTATTTCACTTGGTTCTTTTTTTTTTTTTAAATAGGCCTTTAAATAAAATAAAAACACAAACAATCCAACAGGTGAAACCCAATGTTGAACGTAAAATCCAAAGAATTGACACATATACATGCCATGGGTTCATTCAACATTTCTAGAGGCGTTGTCGAGCTTGTATGGAGGAAAGATTTGTCAACAACTGGGGCATATGATTTAAATAGCTAGGGCCTTCCCTGGGGATATTTGGCTATGAGAATTGTTATTATGATCTATTATTAAATGCGCAAATACACATTATGATAGATTTTTTCTTTTGAAGTTACACACAGTTTTGCGTTTCATTTCATTTTGATATAAATTTAAAAAAAAACAAAAAAAACCCTTGATATTTCTCAAATATGTACCAGAACATTGATTTCCTTCTTATTGGCAAATGTAATATCCCCTTGGTTGAAATTTATCTGTACCAAGTTTGTTGAAATTGGTAGGCAGATATTATCTCCTTAACATTACAGCCACTCACCCACGCTCTTTTCTGATAGAAGTGTAACAGATTGAAGTGGCATTCTATTTCATCGTGACTGTTTTTATTGGTAAAAATGTAAATTGTTTACCTACGCCGTTTACATACACCCTTTTCACACAACTATAAATCATTCATGAGGCGGGCGGCTTTGCCTGCCTGGCCTTATTGTCATTCAACGCTGTGTGGGATATTTTGGCCAGGCAGATATTCCATTAACTGGACGTAAAAAGCACATCTTTTCATTGAGTGCGACATTTTAAGTGCACCCTATTCAGAATGGCTGGTGGTAGGACATTTCCTTAGTGCGCAAGGTGATGTCTGGAGGAGGCGAACACCAAAGCTGCTCGACCTTGAAGTTATCTTTCCGACATGCTCATGCTGTCACCATAATATTATGTATGTATGTATGTATGTATAATATGCAAGTGTGTGTGTGTGTGTGTGTGTGTGTGTGTGTGTGTGTGTGTGTGTGTGTGCGTATGTAGGTGTATATGTTTGTGTATGTGAGTGTTTGTGTATATGTGTGTGTGTGTATGAGTATGCGTATATTTGTGAATGTGTATGCGCGTCTGTTAGTGGTTCGTTTCCCTTGTGCTTGGCCTCATCCCCGGAAGAAGCGGTTGTAAGAGGCGACCCGCGTGCTGACGTCAGGGAAGCAGCCGTTACACTCTTGGAGGCTGAAGGAGATGATGCCCGCCACTTTGTTGTCGCACACTACAGCACCGCCACTGTCACCCTGGCGGGGTGGGGAGGAAAGGGGTGGGGGGAGGGAGAGAGAATGTGTGTGTGTATATGGTTATGTGTGTGTGTGTGTGTGAGAGAGAGAGAGATATAGAGATAGAGGGGGGGAGGGGCAGAGAGAGACAGAGAGAGAGAGAGAGAGTGTGTATGTATGTGTGTGTGTTTTTGTGTGTGCGGGTGTGTGTGTGTGTGTATGTGTGTGTGTGTGTGTGTGTGCGGGTGTGTGTGTGTGTGTG